AGGCTTTTCTCAAAAACAGGTACAATTATATCAAAATCTCGAAACCGCTTTTCAGGAAAACACTTGGAAAAGTTAATTGTTTTTGGGAAATATAACAAAAAAGGAGCTCTTTTCTTAAAATTATTTTATATGAAAAAGTTGTATCTATTAATCTTGTAAAAATGTAATTTATTGTTGTCTTAAATGTTTGTATGAAAAAATATTAAGAGATAAATAATCTTGTAAAAATTCATATTTTTTGTGAAAAAATACAATAACTTTTAAAAAGATGCAAAATCGTATTGTATGTGGGTAAGGCCATCTCAAGTGGGTCACAAATTTACCGACGTTCGAATTTCCAGATGATTTTTCGCTCAAATGAAGTCCTACTGATCTGAAATACACTACGTAAATTTCATTGAAAATTTTAAAAATTTATACTTTTTATGAGCATTTGAATTTTCTTACAATGGTACGGAATTTATTTTTTTCTCCGAAAATACAAATTGGAATGCGATGATTTTTTAAACATAGGGAGAGGACATACAACCCTACTAAAATTTATTTTTTTCGTCTTGAAAATTTTAAATTTGATGTAAATTTTTTATTTTTTTATTTTACAAATGAAAATTTAAACAATTTCTCCGCCTGCCAGAAAAATTATAATACCAGCATATCACGCCGGAAGTATTCAAGCATTCACTCCGAGAAAAATATGTGAACGGATAGCAGTAGTTTATTCACAATCATAATTTTAGTACGAGCTTACACACTCCGTATTCATACGTACAGGTGTATATACATATGTATGTATGTACGTGGGGCACCTTGCTGTTAGTTAAGTAACTGTAAATAATTGTAAACTCAACATTAACGGTTGATTGTCCATTTTTTATTTTCAACATGTTCATAAAATACATTTTAACTTCATCAAGCAACATGCGATCAGCTGTTTTTCGTACTGACAAATTCTTACAAGTAAAAATTTATCCAGTAAAATCCAGTAAAAACTCAATTTCCCCTACTTTGCAAGTTTTTGTGTACGAAAACACCAAAACATGAAAATTCGTAAAAACTTTTACTGGATTTTCTGGAAATGAGTAAACAAACGCAACTAATAATATCGTCGCGGGTTCTTTAAAGTTTTCGCTAGAAAATAACGGTTCTTTAATGTATGTGAATGAGCTTCATGTTCTTGACGACATGTGTAATTTTCTGAAAAATCCAGACACGCAACATATTGATAATCATCCAATTGGTTTTTTATGTCAGTAAGAAATTAAGCCTGTGATTTTGAAAGAAAATCATATTCCATCAGAACCAGTAGATCTTTTGATAAATTGTGAATAAATTCGTTCGTTGTTTGGTCTTTTACTTGCAGAGAGCATCTGTAAGTAAGTAAATTACAATATATGAGAAGTTTTTTCGGCAAATTTTGAAGAAAGTGTACGATTTTACTTAAACAATGATTTACCTGTCAGTACTTATTCATTGGTCGTAATTAACTGAAGTAATATTTTTATCTACAAGAATGGATTCCAGGTTTTCTAAGATTTCTTTTGTGCCAGGACAATTCGGACACTTCAACAAGAAACAGTCTGGATTTGGATTTTCGTCAATATATTCCGATAATTTATTGCAGATTCTCCATTTTTTATGAAAAATATGTGATAGAATGCGAGTCACTGCACGTGTGAGTAAAAATTAATAGAAATAAAAAACAACATTGCACCGTTAATGCCCATTAAAATACAACTTTTGCATTGGCGAGGGTGTCGCTTCCACAGCGACTATGAATACATACATATGTACATATGTACATTTATATGAAGAGCCTGCATAACCAAAGCGTTCATAGTCAGCTATTGGATATAATTAAAATTTATGTGTAATATTTTCAAATTAATGTTGATGTTTAAATTTAATGTTGACTTTACAACTATTTACAGTTACTTAAGGATACAAATCACTTAACTAAGAGTAAGGTACCCAACATACATACATATATACACCTGTACGTAGCCTGTGGGGAAAATCTCTAGTTCTGAACTGGTGCGCTTCTAGTACATTTTGACCCAGTACTGGTTCGTGATAAATCTTTTTTGCATGCAAGCAACTGGCGAATTTAACATGGCGATGTCCTAGGAAGTGTCAATTGCCCCCCGCTGAATCCCTTTTTCGAGAGTTCTGAACTAGTCCTAAATTCTATAGTTCCGAACCAGTTCTAAAATCGACAGACGAAAGAAAAAAGTATCATGACTTTTCAATCTTTTTGGTTCTTCCGTGTGTGCGATTTTAAGTTATTTTGGAATTAAATTTGTTTGAATGATTGTAAGAAATGTTCGTTTACATACCTTTTGCTATAGCTGAGTTTGCAGAGATGCTCGCTGTTATTTCTTAGATTCCAGACGGTCCCAAGATGTTGAAATATTAACACAAATTTTAGTTTTGTATTACCAAGCTATGAAAAAGCATCTGCGAAGCACANGGTCCCAAGATGTTGAAATATTAACACAAATTTTAGTTTTGTATTATCAAGCTATGAAAAAGCATCTGCGAAGCACAGAATAGAAGCGCATCTGAACGAAAAAAGCACCGAACACATATCTATGTAAAGTAAACAAGCCCCCGCTACATCCCTTATTCGATAGTTCCGAACTAGTTCTAAATTCGACAAATAAGATCTAATTCGTTCTGCATCCCTTTTTCTATAGTTCCGAACCATTTCTAAATTCGTCACTTTAGATATAGATTTCCAATGAAAAAAACTGGAAAAAATTAGTTTTTTAAAAGTACCACATTTCGCCGATTTTGGACTGGTGGCGACAAAGACCTAGTACGGAATTAGAAATTTGATTCACTAGTCCGCGGCTTCCCTGCAGGGTATGAATACGGAGTGTGTAAGCTCGCACTAAAGTTATGATTGTGAATAAACTACTGTTATCCGTTCACATATTTTTTTCGGAGTGAATGCTTGAATACTTCCGACGTGATATGCTGGTATTTTAATTTTTCTGGCAGGCCGAGAAATTGTTGAAATTTTCATTTGTAAAATAAAAAAATAAAAAATTTACATCAAATTTAAAATTTTCAAGGCGAAAAAAATAAATTTTATTAGGGTTGTATGTCCTCTCCCTATGTTTAAAAGATCATCGCATTCCAATTTGTATTTTCGGAGAAAAAAAATAAATTCCGTACCATTGTAAGAAAATTCAAATGCTCATAAAAAGTACAAATTTTAAAATTTTTCAATGAAATTTACGGAGTGTATTCCAGATCAGTAGGACTTCATTTGAGCGAAAAATCATCTGGAAATTCGAACGTCGGTAAATTTGTGACCCACTTGAGATGGCCTTACCGATACAGAGTAGGTATCGATACCTTCTTTGATACAAGTACAAGTACTGATTTGAGTAATACCTCGATGGTATTAATTTATCCCTACTAGGGATAAATCGATACAAGTAAATCCAAGTACATACTCGATACTTTTCTCAATTTACCAATTTTTTTTTTCTCTCTCTCTCTCTTTATTTACAATCTGTCGTTTGACAATAAGTAAATGTGATTGTGTACTTATATATAAGAATGGCGCTGATGCTGTAATTGCAATTTGTCCATTAAATACATTAAATGCATTTCAAAGTTAACATACATATGTACATATGTTATGTAAATTCAAGTAAGTTACTTAACAATTTGATAATTATGTTATTAGAGTTATTTACATGTCAGTTAATGTATTTTGTATATTAAACTTAAGATCTAAAGGGTAAGTCTAGGGGATGCAGCCTTGGCAGTCGGCGCGTATCTTCACTGTTATCTAATAAGTTTATTGCGTGTATGTTAGGATGGCAGCTTAGGGCCGGTTACTCAAAGTCTGGTTAACACTAATCTCTGGTTAAACATCGTTATCGACGTTACCGAATCCCTGTTATATGAATGGAGTCGAATACGTCGATAACAATGTTTAACCGGAGATTAGTGTTAACCAGACATTGAGTAACCGGCCCTTAGTCGGTTAACATAACTCGTACTGTAATTTTTTATCTCGTCCATAATCATAGGTATTTTAAGGTCTTTATGCAAATGAACATTTTTTATATACCACGGAGCGTTCGCAATCAGCCTAAGTGTTTTCGACTGATATCTTTGGATTATCTCCACGTTGGATTTACTTGTGGTGCCCCAAATTTGAATTCCATATGTCCAGACCGGTTTTAAAATGGATTTGTATATAAGAATTTTGTTTTTAAGACTGAGTTTTGACTTAGGACCGAGTAACCAGTACATTTTTCTAGTTTTGATTTTCAGCTGCTCACGCTTAGCTTTTATGTGTTGCCAAGTAAGGGACGGTTACTCAATGTCTGGTTAACATTAATCTGCGGTTAAACATCGTTATCGACGTTGCCGACTCCCTGTTATATGCATGGAGTCGAAGACGTCGATAACGATGTTTAACCGCAGATTAGTGTTAACCAGACATTGAGTAACCTACCTAAGTCTTCTGTCTAAGTGCATCCCGAGGTACTTAGTGCTAATGCATTTTGGGATGATTGATTGATTGAGGCTGACGCTGGGGCAATCTCCAGTTCTCATGGTGAAAGTAACATGTGATGATGTTCCAATTGCGAAGCCAGGATTCTAGTTCGTTTAGTTGTTTTTGAACAATTTCAGAAGCTTCTTTAGCAGAGTAGGCGGAAGTGAGAATAGAAGTGTCGTCTGCATATCTAGTAGAGCTCGGGCTATTCGGTTAATCGATTAACCGAATTATTCGAATCTGACTGAAGTCGACTACTGTTAATCGGTTAGCAATATTCGAGTAGTCGAAAGCTGTCGACTATTCGGATAACCGTTCACTTTAGATTATTCGGTTAACCGTTCATTTTCGGTTAATCGAATATTTTAAGTTCGAGTTTTTTTGCATTTACAGATACATATACATATGTATATGAAAAGTCTTGTTACATTCGTAGTACATATATAAGATTGCATGTGCCAAATTAAGGCAAAGTTTTTTTGCAAGAAATGTGCAGCAAAATACTGGAGGAAATAAAATTAAATTCTATCCCATATTAATTATTACCAAATCTTTGGTATCAATGTTAAGGGCTATATTATAAGACACATTTTTTGGATAGTTTTTTTTGCATACACCGTTATTTTGTGCCATATAGACCCCCATAAGGCAATACGTTTCTGAATACACATTGTGAATTGCCAAAATATGTTATTTCCATATTTAAGAATCATTTATTTCCAAATTAAAGGATGAAATACAACATAAATGTAAATAGTATATATGGATACCATAGTTTTTTAAACACATCGTTATTAAAAACCTTAAAATCCTATATTAACTTCTTTTAAGAAACGTCTGTTTTGGCACAAAAATGTGAGAAGGTGTACATTTTGTGGCAGTAGGCAGCTTCTTCGTTGAGAGACAATGTTTCCACCAATAGAAAATGTTCGCTCCGACTCAGCTGAAGTTGCTGGAATACATAGATAACGCTTGGCTAACTTGAAAATATTAGGATAAATTTCGCTATGAGTTTTCCACCATGTTATTGGATCAATATTATGACCAAGTTGTGGTTCTGCAATATATAAATCTAGCTGAGACGTCACGTCATTGGGCAACGTGTCATCGTCAAACAAAAAGTCCAAATCCGTGGATTCTACTTTGGGCTCTGCCACATTTGTTGATTTCTCTTTTTCTAAATAGCTTCTTACAAAGTCATGAATTTTGGTTTTTGTTTCAACATCTTCGCCATACAAATTTTTATATCGTGGATCCAAAAATGTTGCTACAAGAGAAGCAGGAATGTCATCGCAACTGTTTCCAATGTTAAATCTTTTAAAAAAAGATCTTCTGGCACATTCTTTAAATATTTTTTCATTTATTCCATCAGTAGAAGATGCTGACATATGATTTTGAGTAAACCGATTTATTATAGGACGGACCAAAGACATCGTTACAGTTTTTGCGCTACATAACACTGTTGTAGCTTTATCAAATGGATTTATAACCCTCACCAGAGTCGCCAATTCGTTCCATTCTCTTTCAGTAAATTCAAGTTTAAGTGCATCGCATGATTTGGTGACTGCTCTATCTCCTAAAACTAAGCAGATTGCACTGCGGTTTAAAATTATACTTTCGCACATGTATAATTTCGAGTTCCAACGAATCTCGCAAGATTGAACTAGCCGATTTTCTTTAATTCCCAACTGTACTTGGCGAATTGAAAGAGCATTTTTGGCTACGCTTGAGCGATGAAAATACGAAGACACATTTTTGGCTTTCTTGCATATTTCAGTAAACTGTGGAACGGCTCCAATTGCATCCTTAACAACCAACTGCAGAAGATGAGCGTTGCACTTAACACTATCAGGTATATTTAATAGTTTCTGTGCCGCAGCATTCATAACTGCTGCACTATCGTGAGTTATTGATTGAACCTTATTTGAAATATTCCAATCATTTAAAACTGATTCGACAGTGGAAGCAATATTATCTGCATTTGGTCTTCCTGGAAGAACAAAAAATATTTAAGTAAAAGTAGATTTTCTATGGGTTTACATTAATACCTTCCAACTGCTTGTTACAAAGCGTAGCAGTGCACAAGTCGTATTTTGAGTTAAAATACTGAGCTTCTACTGATATATAAGAATCCAGCGTTCGAGAAGACCATTCATCCACAGAAATTGAAACACTTGATGCCTCCGCCAATTCATTGCATATATTGTCTTTGACGGATTTATATAATAGCTTCAAGCGAGAATGAATGCTTCTAACGCAGGGAACTTTGTAGCCGGGTTCTATCACTTTCATAAAATCTCTGAAGCCATCGGAAGACACAATTGAAAGAGGTAGCATGTTGGTTGAAATCAAACGTGCAACTGCTCGTGAAATTTCTTCTTGACGTTCGTGTGTAACGACGGCTGTGTCACCTTCTAGCCTCTTCTTCTTGGATTTGTTGGGCCTATCGCTTGAAATTTCACTGTGGAAAGCTTCGGCTGAATGTGCGCTAATTATTGAAATGTTATTGCGAAATATTTTAGAGACGATGGCTAAAGCAATACCTACCTCTCGTTTTCGCGATTTTTGTTATGGATTTTTGTTAAATGGTTGTTCAGTGAGGATGTGGAGGAGTTGTAGCACAAAACTGCACCACATATGGAACATGTTACTTCCTTTTCGTCCTCTGATTTTTCGAAAAAATCCCAAACCCAGCTCCTTTTGCGTCCGCTCATTTTTGTATCTGAATATACATACATATGTGTGCATGTATATATTTTAAAAAATTTTTTTTTCATTTGTCAAAGAAATTTCAATGAAAGTTCGGTTACTGAAATTCGATTTGCTACAATGCTCGAGTAGTCGAAGCAAAGCAACTATTCGAATAATCGAAGGCGGGCGACTATTCGAATACCATTAACCGACTAATAAGCATGCGAACGGTTACGAATCGAATAATCGGTTAACCGATTAGTCGAATAGTCGGATAATTTTACGAGCCCTAATATATAGCAACAGTGATGTTATCGTCGTTTATTACTGGCATGTCAGCAGTGAAAATTGTGTACAGTGTTGGAGCGAGAACACTGCTTTGCGGGACACCAGCCTTGGCTTCGTATATATATCTGATGTGTCTTCATTTTTAAATATGACCTTAGAAATAGATAGAGTGGTGCCGGTAGTGTATTTTTTATTTTAAATAACCAACCCGCATGCCACACTCTGTAAAAGGCTTGTTGTATCCCTGTGGGGACAATCTGTAGTTCTGAACTGGTGCGCTTCTAGTACATTTAGAGCCAGTACTGGTTCGCGATAAATCTCTTTTGCATGCAAGCAACTGGCAAATTTAACATGGCGATGTCCTAGGAAGTGTCAATTGCCCCCCGCTGCATCCCTTTTTCGATAGTTCCGAGCTAGTCCTAAATTCTATAGTTCCGAACCAGTTCTAAAATCGACAGACGAAAGAAAAAAGTATCATGATTTTTCAATCCTTTTGGTTTTTCCGTGTGTGCGATTTTAAGTTATTTTGGAAGAAATGTGTTTTCAACTTGAAATTAAATTTGTTTGAATGATTGTAAGAAATGTACGTTTACATACCTTTAGCTGTAGCTGAGCTTGCAGAGNAGTACCACTTTTCGCCGATTTTGGCCTAGTGGGGATCTAGTTCCTATCGGACCAGTTCCTTTTTGGTGATAAAGACCTAGTACGGAACTAGAAATTTGATTCACTAGTCCGCGGTTTCCCTACAGGGATGTCTAGGAACACTGCAGAACAGTACTGCTTCTCTTCCAGGCATCTAAGTATGGTTTTCACTATTCGATGGCATTGCTCCGGAGTTCCATGCAGTTGCCTAAATCCAAACTGATGGTCTGGGATGATAGCAAGGGATTCAAGAACTGGCAATAGTCTTCGAAGAAATATTCTTTCAAGTATTTTCGAGAATATTGTCAGGAGACTTATTGGTCTCCGGCTTGTTTGGCTTTGAAATCATTACGATTTCAGCGCATTTCCACTGCGTAGGAAAGTGGCTCAGCCTAAGGCTACAATTGAAGATTAAGACTAAAAATAGCAAACATTTTTTGGGTAGTTGTTTAATTGTCCATGCATCGATGTTATCTGGGCCAGGTGCTTTAGAATTTTTCAACAGAGATACTTCTGCTTGCACCTCAGGTAATTTAACTTGAGACAAGGGTTTGTCCATTTGACATGGGCAGTCAAGAAATGCGTCTGCTCTCTGACGCTGGTAGTTACTATTACGGGCAAACGGTTCAAAAGTGCTTTTAAGATGATTGCCAAATGCATCGGCTTTAGTTTTGTCGGATCTACACCACGCGTTGTTTGCACCTTTCACTGGTATTTGTCGTTTTGTTGGACGCTTTAAATATCTGGTAGCTTTCCATAGGTTATTATCATCATTATTTGGCTCGGCATTCATAAGAAATTCTGCTATAGATTGTTCTTTCAACTCTGCTAGCTTGCATTTTAATTCTTTGATTGCTTTGTTGAGTAAAGTTTTGTCAGCTGGACTTCTACTATTTTGCCAGATTCTTCGAAGTCATATAAGTATGGTACCTTATTACTTCGGTGTGTATAGGTCGATTTATTCGAATTTGGAGAAGCTAACGAAGCGGCTTCGTGTATTTTTTGAGTAAAGTTCTCCACTGCATCATCTAAGTCTCTGATAGAGTTTATTTCCATGTTAAGGTTTACATGAGATTCTAGCCAAGATTGAAAAACAGGTACATTCGCCCTTTTACTTAGGACACGCTGATTACGAGGTGTGAGAGAAACAGGCATATTCATATTGATAATGAGAGCAGAGTGATCAGAACTCAGATCTTCGTTATTAAAAATTTCAAGACGATTTGGGTCGATGCCGATATAAACTGCAAAATCGATCAGGTCGGGGATTTTGTTAGAATCGCTCGGCCAGTATGTGGGACTGCCAGCTGACAAAACGTTTAAGTTACTTTGAGTAATATACTTGTACAATTCACGCCCTTTTGGATTCGTAAGACGAGATCCCTACCATGGGTGCTTGGCGTTAAAATCTCCGCCGGCTAAAAATCTTGGACCCATTTTGTCGAAAAACGTTTTAAAAGTTTGTTTGCTTATGCTGAATCGTGGTGGCAAATACAATGCAGTTATGACAATCTCACCATTGATGGTTGGGATTTTCACAGAAGCAGCTTGAACTGAAGGTACTGAGACAGGCTCTAGAACGATGTATTTTAGTGGTGACCTTAAGAGAATAGCCGAACCACCGTGGGCTTTACCGTCAGGATGGTTTGAAGTAATGAGATCGAATCCGTTTATTTAAAACAAAGACTTAGAAGTAAAGTGGGTTTCAGAAACTAGTAATATATCGACGTTGTAAGACTTTAAAAAGTATTAAATTTCCAATCTATGGTTACTCAGTCCGTTGGCGTTCCAAATTGCTATTTTAAGGCTTAATTGCATAACTTGGTTATGAGAGAGGACATCATATTTATTAATGTTGTGGTTAACTCAATTTGTTTGGCAATCATTTCTTCGAGTTTTTCTAATTTACCATTGCTGTTTGTAGTAGAACTATGTAGTCCCCTTGTGATATCTGCAAAGCTAACGTTTTGTTGTAAAATTGTTGCTCAGCGTTTGAGCGATTACCTAAGTTGGGCCTTGGCTTATTATTAGTAGTGTCCTTTACATACTAACTCCTGATAAACTCTACAACCCTTGTAGTTGGCGGTGTGATTTTGAAGACAGTGAACGCATTTTGGTGGAATGTCTTTATTTTTTCGCAAAGGGAGGAGGGGTGGTCTAATCCACATTTCACACACCTAAACGGCTTTTTACAATACTGCTTGGTATGACCAAATTCTTGGCAGCGAACGCATTGTACCAAGTCGTTAAATTTTTTAGGTGGCTCGATATGGCTTGTCTTCTTTCAATTGGTATGTATGAAAAACAATATTATGGAAATCTAGATGGCTCACAAGTTTTCTGTAGCATTCACTGTTTGCAGTCATCACCCTTGCTTGTCCGTCACTGCCAGACTTGCAGGTGAAGTTTTCTCTACCAATAATAGCTGAAAAGCTCTTCAACATTTTAGTAATGTCATTTACTTGAGGTATGAAAATCGGAGGTGGTTTGTGATAAACTGCAGTAGTTTGTAATGAGTCTTCTTCCGCATTAGCGTTGAAGTCATCATTTGGCATGTTCAAATCCAGTGATGCAAACCGGTTTGAATTGTTTGGAGTTTCGTTGATCCTTTGTTGTTTTTTAATAGCTTTGGAGAGTCAATGTTTTTACGCTTTGTTGCTTTAGGCTGGTACGCGATTTGCCAGCCTTCACTGTCATCACGCGTACCGTTGGCTTTGTTATCATCGGTCATGAAATAAATGTAATGTTTTTTGTTTTTGTTTTGTTTTTTTCTATTTTCGTTCACACACTATTTGTTTACGAGAACAATACTTTGCATTAATTATACCGAGAGCTTAGCGCTTATGACCGTACTCACCGAATACAAGATAGGAACTGACCAAATATTTCTGTACTCGATTCTTTTTACTGCGATCCAAGTAGGTATAAAAAAAAAGTACTTGTAACGGAAGCGCAGAACTTATTGGCGCGTATTCATAGTCCAGCCAATAAGTCGAAACTAATAAAGTTGCAACTTAAATTTAAGTACCAACTTAAAATTCACTTCTTTTCATAGTCGCATTTCAGACTTCTACTAAGTAGTTTTAACTTAGTTTTACGATATTGCAAAACGAGAGTGAAAATTTATCGATTTTTCTTTACGATATTTTGGAAAAATGACATTTTTATTAAATAATGTCAAGTTTGATCATCCGTTTATGTAATTTTTACCTTCATCGCATGTTTATGCAAAAGAATAAGGTATAACTTTCATGTTAATTGTGTGAAATAGCCAGAACTACCGCAATAATGTGAAGTCGATGTTTATCGAAAGCATGATGTGAAACATACAAACACATATCTAAATGTTATGCACCAATTTGCTCTAAAAGAAAAGCTTGAAATTGACTTATTATTTGAGCATTTATATATGTAAATTATTCCAATTATAACATTGTGATGTAGCCTTATTCGAATTGTAATACGCATTTTATTTAATCTTCCGATTCAAATGGATCGCTCTTTGTAAATTTCAATTGGAGATCATTCAATATTATGAAAATCACGCTCTGCCAACTTAATTTTTACAAATTTCGTCTTGTTTTCCTTAATTTAATAAAATACTTCTGCAGCCGAAACTAAATTTTAAGTTGGTACTTAGCCAGAAAAGTCGAAACTAAGGCGACTATGAATAGCTTTAGTTGTAACTTAGGATAGTTTCGACTTAGTTGTGAACTAAATATGACTATGAATATGCGCCATTTTGCTTCAGCATCTTCTTTGAAAAGCAACCCATTAGAGGAACTGCGTAATACATTTCCGCAGCTATATAAGCAGGTGACATGTAACAAGATCAACGAAAATAAGGTAAATTAACTTTATTTCACACCCTGGTGCGAAATAAAGTTAATTGACATTATTAGCTTTTCTAAAGCGAAATAAAGCCAATAAAAATTTGGAAATAAAATCATCCAGGGTGACATTATTACCTTTTTAAAAACGAAATAAAATCCATTGACATTATTTCTCTTTCAAACATTAAATTTGCTTTGTCGCGCTCGCGCCCCGCGCGACCGGCGCGCACACCACGTCACGCTACGCCGCGGCCCCCCCCATATTACGATTCAAATTGAAAAAATGTCGCTCCAAAAAGGGTCAAATGGTTAAAAATTAACATACTCGTCTGATTTGGTTACTTTAAGATGTAAAAATAACATCTCAGTGCCCCGAAAAAAGTTCCCATTCCCCGATTGCCACTCAAATCGAAATTCTCTGCAAATCGGGAGATTTCCTGCGAGCTGACAAGTTGAAGGATGCAGCTGAGCTAATCACTTCTACTTGTCTTGGAAACCACAATTTGTGTGTATTTTAGAGTTTTTTTCAGTCACATGCCGAAATTGTAACATTTTTCCCCATTTTAATTGCAGGTATGTACACAGCATTTAACTATGGTACATGGGTT